TCAAAGAGCATATCAATCATCTACGAGACTATTTAATAAATTCAAATGTTTCCAAACCTTCTAGTAATAACATTTAAGCAGTTTTACACTTTTTCGAACTCAAAACTGTCGTTCATTTGCATCGCTTTTTGAGCATGGTAAATATATACTGTCGCAGAATTGCTTATGCAGCTGAAATTCACGCCTCTCTTCCTAAGTACATTCGTGGTAGTAAAGATAACTATAAGAAAGAAGTCACTTGGACGCAGAGACAGTCGCCGCATTCGAGAAGGCTTAGAATAATTTATCCAACGTTTATCCAATCAGTCATCCCACCTCGAAAGCCGGAACTTGTCTAGTCACTGATGCTTCTTAGTTAGCGATTGGTGCAGTTTTTAAACAGCTTTAAAGTGACCGTTGGAGGCAGGCCTTTACTTTTTTTGTTGAGAAAATTCTATCCACCACAAACGAAATGTAGCACTTGTAACCGAAAGCTTACAGCTATTTGTAAGGTCCAAGAAAATCCAAGTTTCAATCTCATCCAATCAAGTTCACTGTGATTTTTCAGATAACGTTTGATGACCATAGGTCCCTAAAATCTTTTTTAGACGAGTGTTTAAGGGGGCTCCTACGACTACTGCTGAGCTCAAAGACAAACAAAAAATAAAGTTTTGTTTTTTAATAAACAAATGTGTCTGAAAATCATTATGATATTTTTAATAACGTATGAAGTGGGAAAAATGATATTTATGTGTGTAGTTTAACTTTGTACGAAAAATTTATTATTGTTTTGACCAGTCTAGTGCATACGAGGGTACAGTGGTACACCACCTGTGTTGGTGTAGTATAGCGATGTAATATATAGGTATAAGGTATATATATGTCGTGTTTGCATGCATTTCTGCTATTACTCTACCTCTATAGTGTTTAGTATCTGTATGTCATTAACATCATTTAATTGATAAACAATGGATGACGGTCCTTCTAATCCACCTAAAAAAAAGAATACCACGCACATAGAGTCTCAAGAGGATGGAGGAAAGGCAATCTCAACTTTTGGAAAACTCGCGCGATTAGGTGAACAAGTACGTCTGCTACCCACGTGACCTCCTGACCTCCCGGACACTATTTATTTATTTCCAAAATATCTCGCTAAAATGGTCCTTTATCCACAATTTTTAATACAGCATATTACAGAGGAAGACTTCATCTACGAAACGTATATATTTAGTCTGCTGGGACATTTAATTTAGGTTTATTATAAACTAAAACAAATTGTTTTTCACGCTGCCCCATAGGAACACGTGCTAATAGTTACAACTTTGAGCTCGGATTTCTCAAAATTATGACCCATTCGAAATATAATGTAGACCACCATTAAATTCAGTAGACTTTTATTTACAAGAAATAATATATCTCTGCTTGGGGACTTTCGTGAAGGAGCCCCCTTAAGCTTTTTGACAACCCATATCGTCTTGGAACGAGTCATTGATTAGACAATCAGGCAGAGATGCGTAAAGCCTTAAATGCACAGCAATATTAAAGCTTGGTAAGTTGCTCCAAATGATCATTTTTCGTAAATTCACATAATTATTATTGGTCTACTTTCTAGTTGTGATGGGTATACATACTTGCTAACTATGATAGATAAACTCTCTCGTTGGTCCATGGCCATTTCTTTCAAGGAAATCTTGGCTCTTATAGCATTTTACGACATTTGGGTCACTCGTTTCGGGACTTTTTATATTAATTCAACCAATCAACGAGCCCAAATTAAATCGCAAGTATTCAAGGCTTTACTTGGCCTCTCAAGTACCCAGTGAGTCAGTATCGTTACTCATCATTTAGCAGCGAACGGCATAATCGAACGTTGGCATTACGATTTTAAGAAAGATTTAATGTGCCATTACAATAAAAATTAGCTCAGGCAACTCACCACAGTAACTTCAGGATAAGGAACAGCCGTAAAATTGGGTTCTGTAGGTTTGTCAGACAATTACTTAAATAATACATCTCTTTGTGTACCCAGCAAGTTTTGTTAACGAGACAAATTCCAACCAAATCCATAGTTGTTTTAAGTAGAATTTCGCGGACACATGCAAATTTGAAGTCTGCACTGGTTCAGCATCGTTATAATTTGCAAGAATTTTTTAAAAAAATTTTGAAAGTTAAACCATGTTTTTTTTAAAGCTCCACCGGTAACAAAGGCCCTTGAAAACCTTACTTTAGTCCATACCAAACTCTCGAGCGTATTTTTGATCAGAATTACAAAATTAAAGTTAAGAATACTTTTAAAACTGTTTATACGAAGCTAGTTAAACATAAATATTTTATTCTAGACGATCTGTAACATATAACATATAATAAAGCTTTTAAGAGATTTGGAATTTCCCGAACAGCCACTCGAAGCTCGCGTTTTACTTAAAAATACTCTATATAAAAAAAAAAAAATAATTAAACTACCAAAAAAGTAGTGATCTTAAAAAAAGCGATCTGAATGCCAACTTCCCCAACGTATTACACAAAGATGTCCAGACAGAGCACAACCTGTTATGATACTTCAGGATTTTGTGGCCGTTCTTCCAACCAACCTGGAGCTACCGGAACACCTCTTGCTACAACAGCGAGCCAGTGAGAATAACCTCAAGGAGTTTGGGAAGCTACAACTGCTGAAAATATAATCAGCCTCTGACCACTTTTCAGGGCACCACTGGTACTTTTCAGGGCCCAAATCCTTACGTTCACTAATCCACTATTAATCTCATCAGTCCTTTTTAGGGCCATCTAATGTTAAATTACCTCGCCAATAAAAATATTTCTTACAACTATTTTCGACAAATGTTTTAAAGTAAATTCCGACAATGATTCGTCCACTAATAGACTATATAAAGCCTGACACTTTGAAACTGAGTCAGTCATTCACTGAGAGATGTCACGAGCGAAGTTGTTCGTCAAGAGGCTGGAAATCCTGACTATCGACGCTTCTACATTACCCTTTCGACTCTAAGCATTCAAACAAGGAGAGAAGACTATCCTAAGATATCGAGGCAGTCGTATTTTCTGCAAACATTGATCAAAAAAGAGTTTTGCTTATCTGTTCTTTTGAGAGCCATCGAACGTCGAATTATCTTGCCAAAAAATATACCAAAACTTAACAGAGTTGGAAAAAAAATAGTTTTCACAAAAGTTTTCAACAACGCCCTGGGTTGCAAGAGGGCGAATTGGAAAAAAGACTTTAAATGCTTCAAATTTACACAACTTTAGGCGTTGAGAAACTGATACAAATGTTGTATAGGACACCTTTTTTACGCTAGAGTGCACGTTTCAAATAAAGTTTTTGAACAAGTCTTCTAAATACTGAACGATAACATTGTTAATAAATTAAAAAACATATAGTGTGGCTAAATCAAGTAAAAATTTTGTTCGAACAAATCACTTAATTATTTATAATAATATAGCCATTTTAAAAAAATCTAAAGTATTAATTGTTTATGATAAAAAAAAATTGTTTATAATTTTTCTAAAAAGTGATATTTTGACATAACTGATGAATATTTTATAACCAAAAAATGTTATGATTGTAGATAATCAATTTCTTAAGAGACTGAGAGGTTTTGGATCGAAATCGGAAAACAATTAAATTTATAAGTTAACAAGCGTTAAGTAGATTTTTTTTAAATGGCTATATTTTTCTAAACAATGGAGAAGTTTGTTTGAACAAAATTTTTTGTTGATTTAGCCACACTATATGTTTATAATTTATTAACAACGTTATCGTTAAGTATTTAGAAGACTTGATAAACAATTTATTTGAAAAGTGCACTCTAGCGTAAAAGGGGTGTCCTAGACAACCTTGAGTGTCAGATCAGCTTTCCTTTATAACTCTAACATTGATTATTTGAATCTTTTATCCATTTCAAAAGGGAGAATTATAAATGTATCTTCATTGTGGCATGAAAAAATGAAGAGATAAGGCTCTAGGATTTTTTTGCTTCAGTAATAAAATTTGGTGATTGAAAAAAAAATTTCTCACTATACGTTCATGATCAGTTTTAAATCTATACAGCTTTAACAAACAGCCCTTTTCATACATTATAACGCGAGTAATTGATAATATTTTGTATTACGTATTAACACACTAAGGTATTCCACTCAGTGAATCTTGGACGAAGCCAACCGTGACGGGGCAGCTAGTTTACTAATACATAATTATGTAACCAACGTATGACAGTATAATTTAGCCTGAATTAAAGAATCACAAACATGTTACTTACTGTCCACATTGTTAACACATTATAGTTCATACAATAAGTCAGTATAAAAGCTTTTAGAAAGGATACAATGTAACACACACACACACACACACACACACACACACACACACACACACACACACACACACACACACACACACACACATACATACATACACACATTTTTGGGCCTACGTAAGTGTGAAGGTATATTCAACACTATCTACGTCATACACGTGCTACTTTTGTATCAGCTTTCTTGTTCAATTCTTTTATTTTCGCGATCAACTGTGAGTTCGATTGTAATTATATCAACGAAGAAAAAATTGTATTAAATATTACCACACTAAACGTAGTTTATACAACGTACATTTTGAGTACTTGAATGACAGTCAAATTATAAAAGCGCGAAATTAAACCCTACGAGATTTATCACGATATGCAACATGACGCAAAATCATGTAGTCTCTGACATTATTTTAATTTTAATTATTGTAAGATACGTGTTAAGCAATTTTTATTACTTAATTTACAACATTATAAATAAAAATAAAAAAGCCAAGTATAATTTTTTGAAATTAAATAATAATTATTTAACTCGTAGTAAATCCTAAAGTATTGTTTTTAGAAAGATACGTTCATGAGATTACTATTTACAAATCAAAAACCATCTGGATACTAAGTTATGAGTTATTTAGAACTAGTCATTTCCAGAAACATACAACATAATGAATATTTTAATGAACAAAATGTAAAGCATATAAATACCTCTTAATCCTCGTTGCCCTATGTCATAAGCATCAGCAAAAACTTCTTGTTCTTTTTTTTGTGTCAGAGGATACAACTGACCGTTAGCTGCGTACTTAGTGCATTGTGGTAGAACTTTTTCTAAAGCTCCCTTGACAAAATAGACTTCTTGTTTATACTGCACAAACAATGAAATAAGAAATACATCGTAGTATGAAAGTACATTATTTCTGTAATTAATCACAAAAACAACATTCTGACAATACCAGTACATTTTGTAATTAATATTACGTTACAGTAAATGTTGGACCATGTGATTCTCTCATGGTTTTGTGAAGACTAAAAGTGTAAAAAATAATTTTCATAAATTTTTATCAGAAGGTTAAGGATATAAATTTGGCGTTTGACATGGTAACTATCTGAAAAAATCTCCTTATTACAAAACATATTCATAAAAAGTCAAATAACTACTTTTAATAGAATCGTGTAATGATAAACATATATAAGATAGTAATAAAATATTAGCCCGAATTTATTTTTGTAATGCAATGACTTTTTTAAATTTGCACAGTTCCATAAAAGACGGTATAACAATTCCAAGAGAGAAAGATGCCAATAGAGTTACTTTTGTTAAAGAAATATTTTTATATGATATGAAAAAAATGATACTTACCTGATTACAACTTCAGAGTTTAAGTTTAAAGAAAAATTTTATTTTAAGAGAGTTCCCTTCCAAAATGAAAATTATCAGATTTTGATGAAACTTTACAAATATATTATTTCATATCGTACCAAACGACTAGTAAAGTTTCTAACCGATTCAGAACCTGTGAGCTGAGATATGAACATATCTTTTAACACGTGCTCTTATGGGAATTCATGATCATACCGAACCTCATACTTTCCTATTATTTACGGTACTTCCAAAGATCAGATTTTAAAATAATTTAAATATGTTTTTCATTAATTGTTCAAGAACGTTTGTGAATTTTTTAGAGCAGATCAGAACTTTATAAGCGATTATTTATTGATACTGTAAAGTATTTGATACGATAGCAGTCGATATTTTTCTCACTTACGACATGTGGCAATGTTGCGTTAGGTTGGAATATCTGAGGCCATAATACGTCACAATAATGAATAAGAACAGGACATAAATACGTTAAGCACGGTGCTTAAAAATTAAAAACGAGAAACAACACTGCTTTGGAGGGCGTGTAGAAAATATTTGTATAAACTAGTTTCCATACTAATTAAAATACGCTTACATATAAATATAGGAAACAATTCGCATGATGAATCGCGACGTTTGGTTTGTTTACCTATACGACAGCTGATGCCCGCCCCAATTGCTTGTCTGCTACACAAGCACAACGTTGCCACACTTCTTACACGTAAAAAGTTTGATGTTCTCTGTCATTTTCTAAGATCGGTCTTTCTCTTTCTTGCCAAGGGAACTCCCTTAACTTACACTTTTCCTTTCTATCTACTATTTCTCTAAAGAATAAATAAAAATTTATGTTGCTTAAGAAAAATAAAGTATGTTATAAAATTTAGCTTTAAAAAAAAAAGTATGTCATCGTCACTTAGAAGGAGTTACTTCCCAATTTTCGCTATGAATAGTTAATGTTTTATTTTTCATGCAAAGATAGAACTACTTTAAATTTATCATTTGAATTCAATTTTTTTTAATAGTTATTATTAAGTGACAATTTTCATTATCATAACGCAAAAGCTCCAAATAACAATCAGAGACAATTTTTAACATGACACAAAAAACTTTATTACTTGAACTTGCAGAAAAAATTTTCTTGATAGCGATGGAAAAGTATGAATGAGAATTAATATCATTCACAATAAGAGTAATACAGTAAAACTTCCGGAATTTTACTTACTCATGTCTTAGATTTTCTTGATTCTACAATTCTTTTCCTTTAATTTCTTCTTTTTTCTTCATTTTCCAATAAATGCACACTACGAAGTGTTATACATATTCGTGCATGATGTATTATAAAAATAAAAAAAATCAAGCGATAATCAAATAAAATTTATATAGTTTTACAATGCTACTTAAAAATACACATCATCATTTTCTTAATTGATACTATTTTCAATATTTAAAAAAAAATTCTTTCAATACCTTTCACGTATCGTAAAAAAGGTATGTAGTGAAATATCTCGAAATTATTATTTTTTTTTGTTTTTGACAATGAGCTACTGCGTTTAAGGATAAAAAAGTTGTTACGTATCTTATTTAAACGTTGTGAAAATTGCTTATCTGAAAACCTTAGAACAAGCTTACATAGTTTATTACACATAATGTAAAGTTCTCAAAATACATTTTTTTTTATTCAAAATTATGAAAACTTGAGAAAATGTCATTAATGTATAAATCAAAGTCCCAAAAAACATTGTAATTGCTAACTACAGATACAACTCAACTAATTTCGTTGAAGTTTTGCAAACTGATTCTTGACACCTCCTAGATGGTTTTCGCGTAGTTTTTTTCTCAAGCAATTCAAAATAATAGTAATAAATTAGCTTCAAATTTTGTCAAAAAAAACGCTCACTGTGCGCCTTGGTTTAGTACGATCTGCTAGGTGGCATCTAAGCAAACTCAAAGCCACCTGCAATCGAAGTTAATGAGTCTGGTGATATTCCCGAGAAAAACGTTAATTATCATAGTAGTTTACTGGTAGTACGTCATAACAGAGATGTTCGGCGTACAGCTGTGTATCCCGGCTACCAACGATACTACGACAGTCTCTGATAGGACCATGTAAGGTTGAACCAACTCAGTAACGAATATATTTTTTGCATCTACTTTTGGCAAATATTATTGCATATATTTTACAGCAAATCCTGACAACAATTATTCTTCCATCAGACGATGCAAATATGGCCAGTTTTAAATCAAGTCTGCGATTCACTAGCAGACGTCATGAGTGTAGCTGTTCATTACTAGACTGGAAGTCCTGGACACTGACGAACTGCCCATTCAACCCAAAATTACCAATTCTATCAAAGGTTTACGCTTGGCAAACCTAATAGCAAATCTTCACCTTGCAAAGGGGTTGCAGTCTTCAAGTTGCAAAAGGGCGAATTAAAAGAAAAACTTAAAATTCTTCTAATGTATAAAAATTGAGACGTCGAGAAACTGACTCAAAATGTTCATCAAAATTGGAACAGCAGCGTCAAAATTAACGAACAAATATTTTATGAAGTGTCTTATCAGCTTTTCTTTGTAACCTTGACATTGATTATTTGAATCTTCTATCCATTTCAAAAGGGAGAAGAATATATGTGTTTTTATTGTGGCATGAAAAAATAAAAAGACGAGGCTCTAGAATTTCTTTGCTTTGGTGGTAAAATTTTGTCATTAAAAAAAATTCTAAATGATATATCTTTTATCATTTTTTAACTGTTACAGCTTTAACAAATAGCGCTTTTGATACATTATAACGTGAGACAAAGCAAATAAGGGCCTTTTTTTAGGCAAACATCTTTTGATAGCGTATGAAACGTATGGTACTATTTAGCGTCATTATATTTATTATTTTTTTTAAACTTTTTTACAGCTTATTATTCAACGAAAACTGCATGGATTTCAAACAAAAATTGTTTTAAATAGAATTTTTTAATTCAGAGAAGTGTCAAGAATAGATGCACAATTTTTAAGTATTAATAAACTGAAAATATTTTACATTACGTGTCAACACACTAAGGTGCTCCATTCAGTGAATCTCGGGCGAAGCCAGGAGCCGCTAGTTATATTATACATATATCTACACACTCTTCTCGCCACCTACGGGTAAAAGTTACCAAGTGCAGTCAGTACACAACTAAATAAATTATAGGAAACTTTGTATTTCAAATAATAAAAATGACATTTATGATTTTAAACACAACGTTAGTAAAGGAAGTGAAAAAAAAAAAAATATAGAAAAAAAATTTAAAAACGATTTTAGAAACAATAAACATGAAGAATACCACTAAGAGCCCGATAAGTAAGATCTGTCACGATTACGCTCTCGATGTCATTTTATTCAATTAATTTATTAAACTTAATTATTTGCTGTGCTCAAATGTTTAGTTGTCTCGTGAATTGCTTAATGCAAGAAGTTTATATTTACTAAATGTATTAGTTGATGATTTTTTTTTATGGAATAGATTTTGTCTGTAGAAACAAAATAAGGTAATTTTATATTTAAGCGATGCCTAAAAATAAAATAGTAATTCCTTCAAGATCAAGACTGATGTAGAATATGCTCTAAAACTAGAAGTAAGGTACAATACCTTATTTTACTTAAGCGAAAATGTATGATTTTTTATAAATTAGAAAATAAACCTGCCTCACTGTACTTTGCTACACACTTAACAGCCATCATTTTTTGTTCAGATGAGAATGGGTACTCTTGAAGACGGATATATTTGTCTGAGATAGCATACATGCCATTCTTCATTCCAGCTATTAGTAAAGCCCCTTCTGTAGGCTGGCCTAACAATGTATTATTTTGAATAACAGCATTATTACAAACGCACCCAATCTAAAACATGAATGATGTTATGACAGAAGACTAACTTTGTGCTAAGGAGTGACATATATTGAACTTACGGTACGTCATAAACTTACTTCAAGCAAATTTGTAATAGCTGTTTGAGCAAAGTCAATGTCTTTGCATTTGCGCAGTTTTATTTCTCCATTAGCATTATAGCCAGCTCCAGAAACATCAGCAATATAGTTTTCAGAAGTAATTATTATTATTACAGTCATTTCATTTTGAGTAATAGTACCAGTTTTATCTGAGCATATCACATTGACACACCCTATAAATAAGAAATATACTTTTGCAGTTTTCAAAAACACTTGTTAAAAATCTAATAAGCCTATGTAATTGCTTCAAAAGGTACATTATAACCTTATATTATTATTATTATTATTGTTATTATTATCATTATCATTATTGTAATTATTATTATTGTTATTATTATTGTTATTATTATTATTAATATTGTTCTTACATATATTATAACGGTAAGAGTAGGGAAAATTCGCACACACTTAGATTCAACTATTTTCTTCTTATAATTGGACCCCTCGACTTAGTCAGGGGCAGAGCATTGAATATGTATGGACACACGAGCGGTTTTTTGTGTTAGCTTGATTTTTCTTCATTGCGTAATTTATACGAATAAGGCAAGAAAATATTTTTGACATTTTTAGTTTTTCTTTCGGGAATAAAGATAGGCATATTCGTGGCATGGTTTGAGATAAGACAGTCAAATAACTTTCCAAGAACAGATGTCTTTTAATCTAAGGAAACGAAGATATTTAATGAAGACTTTAAATATTCAAGTATCTTTAAATTAGAGGTCACACTATAATTAGATCAGAAATAAAATTGCATACAATATTACTTTTAGAGTGGGACTTGATTAATGACCGCGCGAGTGAGTGGTTGCGTGCGAGAGAAGCTCTGTGGCAATCGATCTGTATCGTGTGTTAGAAGCATTCTTTATTATTGTTAACTGTGAGAAAGTTGATAAAAAGACGATGGACATTAAAAAGAAGGGTGAGAAAAGCGAGGACAGTGCGAAAGAGAGAAGTGTGGCGGTGGAGGCGTGTGCGGTGGTGAAAGGTATAGGTGAAGCGAAGCGAAACAAAGCAAGCGTGACTACGAGCAGACAGCCAGCTATAACGGATAGCTTTGCGAGAACGGTGAAATTCGACAAGAGAGAGAAAGTGCTGGAATGCGGGGGCTGTGAATTGTTGAGGGAGGAGGTGTGTGAATTAAAAGAATGTTTGAATAAAGAACGGGAGGCGTTTAACAAAGAGAGATAGTATGATAGAAAGAATGGAGGTAGAGCTGAAAAAGATAAGGCAGGAAAATGTTGTGTGTGAGAAAAACAAAGTTGAAATTAAGGCGATAGAAGTTGATTTGTCTGAAAGAATCGAACAATTGGAGAATGGGTGGCAGGATTTCAGGGCTAAAGCCAAAGCTACGATGGATAATTTTGAGAAAATGGTCGATAAAGCAGGTAGCATCGAGGAGGCATTGAGGGCGGAGGAGAGGGAAGGCAGTAAAACGAGTAGTAGTGTTGCTTCGGGACAATCGGGAGGGTCGATATCTAACGATGGGAAATCGCTGGCCGGTAGGAGCTGTTTCTCAGATTTTGAAGTAAGCGCGATGAAAAGATTAGTCAAATGGCAGGATGAGATGTCGAGACAAGCAAACTTAGTCTTTAGAGGCTTGTCTCTGCACGGTGAGTGGCGAGTGGGGATGAATGTGTTTTTAAAAGAAAAATTGTATGTCGATGTGGATGTAGAGCATGTGAGAAAGAGTGGAAGTGTGTTCGTAGTAAGGTTTAGCAAGAAGGAGGATAGGGATCTAGTTTGGCAAAATAAGCATAAGCTAAGGGGCTCGAAATTTTACATAGAGAATGATTTAAGCTATGAAGAGAGAAAGAGGCAGGAGTTGCTGGGGAAGTGGGTAAAGAGTAAAAAGGAGATAGGTTATCAAATAAAAAGTAGCATGGGTGGTTTTTGGCTAAATGACAAATGGTTTAAGTGGTTAGGTGAAGAAGCAGCAGAGAAAGTATGCGTGAGAATAGGGCGTGCGAGGAACGGCAACGGCGATAAAAGCGGTGAGCAGAAGACAAGGGGGAATGTGGAAGGGGAAGAGGGTGCAGGGCGACAGCAGAAGAAGAAAAGTAACTTGACGCAACTGGAGTTTACCGAGAGTATGGAAGAGATTTTTCGGTAGGGCCCGGAAAAAGTGTGTTGGACGCTGTGCGGAAGAGGAAAGGTAATGCATGTAAGAACGTAATACGTTATAATAATTGTAAAAGTTCTAGAAATTTCATTTTTTGGAACTGCGCGGGAATTTTAAATAAAGATAGAGATTTTTGGAACTTCGTTGAAAAATATGATTTTATAAGCTTATGCGAAACATGGTTAGAAAATAAAAGTTGGTTAAATTTAGATGGAGGAGGTTACATCCGTTAAATATTTAGGTTTTATCTTTAATAGGGAAGCGAATTTTAAAGATCATATAGAGGAGCTTAAAAAAAAGGGGATTGTTGCGGCGTAAAGAGTGTGGGGGCTGGGGGAAAGAAGGTGTAAAAATGATTTCAGGAGAAGGAAGATGTTGTTTAATTATCTGGTTAGAAGTGTTATGTCATATGGGGCGAAAATCTGGGGTTTTGAGGAAAAAAATGAATTGGAGAAAATACAGCTGGATTATTTTAGATGGGTATTGAAGCTGGATTTTTGTACACCGAGATACATAGTCTATAAGGAAACCGGCATAGATAAATTATCTGATGCGTGGCGGGTGAGAGCGTTAAAATTTGAACGGAAAATACAAAGTCTAGATGAGAATAGATTGCTGAAGGTGTGTAGAAGTGAGAAAGAGAAATGGAATGAGTGTGATTTATATAGTGCGGAAAGAAAAAAATTTTGTAACTACGTAGGTGTAAGCACAATGATTGTTAACCAAGGATTAAACTCTAATAGGGATATTATTGCGGAAATCAGTCAAAGGATAAAAGATATAGAAAGGCAGGTATTGGATAGTAAAATTAGGGAATCTAGATATAATACTAGATACGCGAGTATCATATTCAAAAAAGTACCGAAGTACCTGACTAGATGTAGAAAAGAAAGTGAGATTAGTATAATTGTGGTAATTTTGATGCGAGGAATAAGTATTGGTTAAAAGCGGAAGACAGGTTATGTATGCTATGCAAAAGAGACTCAGGTACATTGTATCATATTATAAATAGGTGTGAGGTGTGTATGAATTGGTATGAAAACAGAGCGGAAGTAAAAAGAATGATCAATAAATATGTTACTAGCGAGCTCGGAATGAATGAGGTAATTAAACTGTTCATAAGGTATGAGAAGGAATGTAAAAAAGAAGAGCGGACGGTATGATTTTGTTAGCGAGAATTGCGACGATAATTAGCCACAGAGCTGGGTATGTAAGGCATGTTTATATGATTTTATCTGGGACATGTGAGTATTTAATCGTAAGATATGGATGGAATGTGTGGGATCAGATAAGCTATTTATTCTTTTCTTTGTAAACCAAGTCCTTTTTCTGGGCCAATAGGCTGATCAATAAATAAATATAAAATATAATATATTACTTTTCGAGTGCTGAGATTCGATCGACCTAGGGACCCAAAAGCGATAGGTGACGACAAAGCTGGCTAGACAACACTTTAAAAAAATAATTTTTAAAAATGGGCCCTCAATCGGCTAGTATGGGTAAGGTTAAAGAGTTAAAACAAAGCGTTAAAAACGTACAAGTAAGCTGAGAGATAGTTGAAATGGCAGTTGATTGAAAGATTTGATATAGAGAGTAGATGCTAAAAACCTTTACTCATTGATCATTATCAGAGTAACTTTTACGCACACAGAGAAGTAGGTTTACGTTTAATACTATTAACCCTTTTTAACAACTCAATGGTACGGTAAAAAAAAACTTTAATAGATTTATGCTGTATTCGTAAATTTAGAGGCTGCTTATGGTAGTGGAAAAATTAGTAGGTATACAGTCGATGGAACAAGCCTACGAAAAATTGAGATGACAACAGATAAAGGGACAGAAGAAAAATTTTAGGCTAATAAAGGACGAAGACAAAGATATATTTTGGACTCTATGGTATTATGATTTCTAAACTAAAAAGAGAATTCTCTTTAAGAGTTACTGGGAGTCAAAAGCTCGGTTCTATGAAGTGGTTGTCTTTAGACTATGCTGACGACTAAATGATTCTCGTATCTGATAAAAAAGCTTTACTAGACATGCTTAAAAGTGAGAACATTTGAAAAAGTAAGAATATTAAGACGAAGTGTAGAGAAAACTGAAATATTTATTTACAATTAAAAAAGTAAAAAGATTAAGTTTTAGGAGGAATAAGGCAAAATGATTAAGAAAATTAAGAATTTGAAAAATCCGGATTTCATATTTAGTGCAATCGACAGTTACGTGTACGCAAACCACATTCATAAGTAAAAAAAAACTACAATATAACTGACAGATTTTTAGATATCAATAAATGTTAGGTGAGCTAATAAAAAGATTGATGTTATTCGTCTCAGTTGTGAGCAGTATCATGCCATACAGGGTGGAATTTAAAAAATGCGTTGTGGATCTACAGTTAGAGACATTTACCATTGATAGAAAGAGGTACAAAAATATTACAATAGCTAACTAGATGCGAGTGGGGCGATAAAATAGCTCGTCAATTATGCAAAAAAATGGCTTTACTTAACAACACATAGTATAACAGCAAAATATAAAAAAAAGGATGAATATTATATCTAGCAAGTATGAGCAGAGATATAAATTTACCAACTAGTGAGGTAGGTAATACGAAAATTATAAACATTAAAAAAACGTTTTTATTCATTTTTTTTCATTATCAAGACAAATGTGTGGAGAGATCGATAGATATATAAAGATCCAAGTACAGAACCAAACAGAAATCAAAAAGATTTAAGGCATGAAGACAACTTAAATTTGAAGATATTTAGACATGAGAACACAATTACGGCAATGAAAAAAAAAGATAAAAAATACAAGTACAAAAATATGTAGGAGGAAGTGATATCTGCACAAGGATAACGAGATTAAGTAATATAAATTTCAAAAGACCAAATATAATCCAACATTTACGAATAGAGTCAGAATAGAAAGATATGGAAACAGGGAGACAGATCAAGGTTATGCACAAAGAAACTAGTGTGCACAGATGCTTAATATTGTAAAAACAATTACCGACTTAAAAAAATTATTAGTTTTTTTGGATAATAGTGTATTAATACGCAAAATTTAGAGACAAGGGTCATAGCACATACTATAAGTCAGAACATGTGGGGTAACAATACAGTAACATATATCTCGAGACTTATATAAATGGATTAAGACTAAATATTACAAACTAGAATATGGAGAATAAAAAATGTAAGGACACAAATTAAAAGTAAATAAAAATTTTTTTGAACACTTGAAAGCAAATATTAAGGGAAAAATTTTTTTGTAAGGAATTTATGAAGAGGCATAGGTAAATGTGTCAGCAGTAATTTAGTAACAGAAGTAAAAAAATAGAAATATAAAGACAACTTCAGAAGTACACAATATAGGGATAGACTAACAATTATAGACTAAAATATTTTGAGACTAAGTTTGAGACACACAAATACATTAACAGAAAAAAAAACTTTGTAAACAACATGGTGGAGCAGTAGCGCATAATTTAAAAATAAATAAGGCACATCAGTTTAGCAAAGAGTATCAATGGTTTACACAAAAAAACAGAAATGGGAGAAAAAAAAGAAAAAGAATACATTTGTTTCAACAAAATTATAAAATAAGAAAATGCTGATTCGCAGATGTCTAAATTGATTAGATTAGCAAAAACTAGTACAAAAAAAGCACTGATATAGTACTCATTGATAAAAAAAAAGATGGAGCATAAATAAAGAGACTGATAAATACGAAGCCAACGAAATCAAGACAATTTACAAAGAGAAAAGCGTGTTACGAAACGTTTAACAGACAAATTAATGTTAACGTAAAAATACGACAGCTAAAACAAAGACTACACTCAAGACTTGCTCGAAGCCATAAACATAGAGACAGTCACACAAGAATTCGTCATGAGACGCAACTACTAGCGCCAAAGGGTCCTTACAAAAGTAAATGAAGTGGTTAAAGTTGAAACTAAAACCTTTAACATTTTTTGTGTTCAAAAGAAAACCGCGAAAATTTAGCACCATTCTACAATGTAAAAAAGCATGTTGCGGTAATAACTAGAATTAAAACCTTTCCCACGCATCTCATGAAAAATAAGCAGATATATAGATTAAAACAGATAAATATATAATTAAAATATCCGATCTTTAAAGAACGATGGGTCACATGATGAAGCCTGTTTATTCGTTGTGTGATAGGCTGATACTGATCAAGCGCGGGTAAATTTGAAAATGAAATTTTGAAAAGTCAGTGAAAAGTCATTTAAATTTATAAGTTGATAGAGATTATAATATTACGTGTTACGACAAAGATATAATTATTGTATTTTTCTCTAAAAATACAGAAAATGAATGTTGTCCCCTTGAATATAGAAATAAAAACTTAGTGACTAATTGTAAGCTTAACAGTTACGGTGACGGAAAGACAGATAATAATTTGAAGAAAAATAACAAATATAGAAAAAATGGTGAAAAAAATCAGTTTACATCACAGAAAAGTTAATTTAAAACAGAAACCAACCAAGTAAAAAATAGAATAAAATAAGACAGAATGTAAAAAAAAGACTACCCGAAATGCATACAGTTTTATATTGAAACATTAAGAACTGAAAATTTTCTTTACTGTGCTCCTTCGCTGTCTCTTAACCAACAATTAGTACATGCACATCGTCTTCAATAGCTTGAAAAACAATAGATTATAAAGACTGATGTTGTCCTTAAAATAAATAACGATTCTATACACTTCTAAGGCTCTTTGACCCTGGCAAGGCTTTAGTTTGTTTATATTAGAAGATTGCAAGTAGCAGTCATATAATTTAAAAAAGCAATGAGAAACAAATACATTAATAATAGTATACACAGAAGCGCTAAGGCCAAAAAACAGTCAAATATTAACATATAACTACAATCTATAATTATGAATTTTATGTGCTTATATCCCTCATGAGTGATTATAAAAAAATTTAACTTACCGACTAATAAACTTTGAGTTCTTTTTTTTGGAAGGTGAGATATTATATACTGATTTACATAAGATACACTGAGCTTTAAAGAGACGTTAAAAATTAGGACAAATAGGAGTCAAATTATGAGGAAAAAAACTTTTAGTTTTAAAAACTGTGGAAAAAAGTTCAGTTTTAAAAGAAAATCACAGCTTGGATTATATTGCAAAAAGTTCGGCAAGAACTGGCTTCTTAAGTATACCGTACATAAAAACTATAACTTCAAAGGGTTGAATTTTGTCAAATACAAGTAATAGTTCTGTTAACCAATTACTACTGGTATATCTGTAGCATGTATACATTTTTTTCGTCGCACGTCACTTAATTACGTTTCATAATTAAAAGTACATAAAATAATTCTCATCATCTTTTTCAATTCCATTTGTTTCCTGTTTGTCCTTCTTAAATAAATTAAGTAATACATTTACACCTAAAAAGTTGAATTGTGCTGAGTATCTAAACAACGCACAAATCAAAATATTTATTTCCCTTAAGACCTTTGTAAATGAATAAACCAAACACTAAACATTTTTATTTGCATAAATTATAATTATGAATAATTATTCATTAGCGTTTACTAGAGAAAACTTTAAAAAAAGGTCAAATCGATTGTGCTTTTGAGTTGTAATCCTAGATGCTTACCTCAAGCTCTTAAAAGCAGCTTAGGCTGCGGGTACATATAGAGCGTAAAGCGTACCATGTAACGCTCTCCATGTGACCGCGGCTTTACGTATTGGAGGTGTAAGCTGACTCCTAGCGGCCCTACCGTATTTTATCTGAACTCGAGTTGGGTCCAACCGCCAATGATTTAAATTTAGAGGGAATTGTCTTGGTAAGTAATTTGATGCCGAAAAAAGTGCACTGCGTACAGCAGCCTTAGGTACAATTTGCTTGGTTATATCACACTTTCGTATCTCATTTTTACGATTAATAGATTTTGAAAATTTATGTAAGATTATTCCTATTTCGGGATTTTTTCTTTGAAAACAGTTGGGAGCACAGCATTTATAAACACTTGCCATTATTAAATCAGTCTTTTAAAATTATTTGATTGAAGAATAATAAAAACCAAACATTAAATTTACCTTAGAGAGTTTTTATGTGTTCAAATCATTGGCAGCTGGACCTAACTCGAGTTCAGATAAAATACGTTAGGGGCGCTAAGAGTTGGTTAACACCTCGAATTTTGGAGCTCTCTTGGCACTACTAATCAAACAAATCTTTAAAAAAAGTAAAAACAAACGAGTGTGCGAATCTCCCTAACCCTTTCGCATGTTTCTAAATATTTGCTTGTAAATGTACCAAGTGTTTCTACAGTTGGTAAGCACTTAACAATTGCTTTTCTCTTGGCCATCCTCATAACGCCTAATGCAAGTGTGACAGTGACAACAATAGGTAAGCCTTCAGGTATTGCTGCAACAGCAAGGCTAACACCAATAGTAAACATGTCAAGAAGTGCTTTAGCCTGAATCCAGCCAAGTATCATTATTATACCAATGATGCAGAAAGAGTAAAATGACAATTGAGCACCAAGAATGTCCATACTCCTTTGCAAAGGCGTTTTGGGTGCTTCTTCTGTTTGCATCATTGCAAAAACTTGACCAAACTCACTCTGAGCGCCAGTATTGATCACAATGCCCTTAAAAGTAAATATAGAACATGAAAAAGGGCAGCATATAATTAAATCACTGATGATTTGACAAACAAAAAAAAATAAAAATGTAAGAAACACGTGTTTGTCAATAGGTATGTTATTAACAGTTGTATTATAATCAAAATTACTTTGCCACTTCCATTTCTAATTAAGGTGCCCATAAATGTTACATTTTGGTTGGTATTAGTTTCATTTTTTTTTAAAATTGGAGCTGTAGACTTTTGAGCTGGTTCAGCTTCTCCAGTGAAACTACTTTCATCGACTGCTAAGTCAATCACTTCAAACAATCTAATGTCTGCTGGAACTCTGTCTCCAATGTTTAAGTAGACAACATCTCCTGGTACAAGATCACGTGCCAAAAAAGTTTCCAGGCAACCTTGCCTTAAGCTTAAAGCAAAGATGATGAGAATTAGAGAAAGATTTAAATAAATGGGATTTGTATTATAGTAGAACAGGTTACCAGTGGCAAGTAGGAGGCATAAGCTTACTGAGCTCATTCAGAGACTTTTCAGAACGGTATTCTTGAACAAATGCCACGGTAACAACTATAATAATGGCCTGTAAAATTTTAAAGACTAAGTTGGATTGCATTCTAACAATACATTTAGAACTGATTTTCCTGCAGCGTACTTTTCACCTTATTTGCAAACAAAAATCAGTACTACAAGTTTTTTCAGAATGTAGCTTGAATACCCTTTTGTTGCGGTCCAATAAAAACCAATAAAATTTTACAATAGGATTTTTCTAGTGGTTTGTTATCGGTATTTGCACCCATAAATCCAGATATCTGTAATGGTAAAAAATAAATTTACAATGTAACCAGTACATCATTGAACAAAAGTGATCACAAAAATTTATTTCCTACCATCCAGATGGCATACCCAAACAGGGAGAACAAAGTATTTTTTTACAAAATTCTAATAAAAATTATCAACTAACTTTTTTCTCAATTTACATATAAAATACGTTAATGCCCCCGTTTTAATGTTGCCATCCGGATGGTAGGACAAAAATTTGTCAATTTATTTTTGTTCAATCATGTCCTAGTTACAATAAATGGTATAGAAAATCTATTTTTGACCATTTCAGATTTTATTTGGATTCACGGGTGCAAATACCGACAAGAAACCAATAGAAAAATCCTATTGTAAAATTTTTTTGGTTTTTATTGGACCAAAAAAATAGGGTATATACAGCAGAAGGTATAACTCGATTTCTGAAGTCCAATAAATATAGGCCTAGTATGTTACATACACAATGTAAGATAAGACAGGTGGTACGAAGTACCACCTCTGCCTAGTTACAATTTTGTAGCAGTAAGTTGGGTTGTTGGGTAGTGCATATGGGTGATTCTGCTGTAACTTGCTCAGATCGTGTCCGGTACTCATACTCACGTGCCGGGTGGGGTTATCGCTAGTTTCTCCATACCGGGCGCTTCCCAGGGTGGCGGATAGGGGCATCCATTTAAAATATGAGGTGACGATGGGCAGCTGGGGTGGCTCTCTGTGGTGGTGGTCGGGAGCGTGGATCGAGAGGCGTGTGTGGCGTTGGCGTGTGTATCTGCGGCGATGTGGACGGGGGACTAGTGCCCCATGTCTCCATCAGTGTGGATGAATGGGCCGGCTCTGCTTGTGCTCCTTGTTCTTCGCTTTTTTCTGCTTCCGTGGGTGGCACTCCATTGCTTGATGCGGGCCAACAAAAACTAGCACCCGTCGCATATAGAAGTAAGCGGCGGTTAAAACATTCTTCTCAGATACATGCATCACACACTCTCACTAAACAAACACAGGGACACTTACGGATTGTTCTGGGTTTCGTGTGGCGGGTCCTTTTCCGGGCTTGCGTTGGAGGCCTGGCGGCGGGTGAAGCCGGATGATGAGGCCCAGGTAAGTCTGGATAACCACATCTGATATGGCTGTACGCCTCATAAAAAAAAGACGTGATGGGCCGACTAATCTAGGCTTACTATTACTGAGGAGGCTATATGGCGGCACCTTAGTGCCTTACGCCAGCCCGTTTTGTTGGGTTGTCTGCGCGGTCGTGGGACTGTACACCTGCCGCTCGTCTCGCTGGGATGACCGTTGTGCACCAACATATACATATATTACACACAAACACCATTCTTACACTTGTAACTCAACGCCAGGGCAGTCTCCGCGGGTGGGACTGAGGGAGAGTGGCAACTCCCGGCCGGCCCGAGCAAGTAGCGGTTCTCTCTGGTAACAGAGAGGGCTGCTGCCCTGGTTTTAACCCTTTCCAAATACTTATTTCTAAAAAAAAGGGTAGTGCTGGCCTTCGCGGGTCAGTACGACACTCAAAAAGATGCCAAAATGGAAAACGTCGATGCAAAACTAGTACCCCAGGCGGTAACCTCTCTGAGGGAATTCACCGGCAGTTCCGATCCGGTGAAAGCCCGGGTGACTGTCGCAGGCCCCACGGATTCTGGGGGGGGGGGGGTACAAAGACGTGTCTCATGGCCGTCAGGGACTGCTTGTAGGGCAAGCGTGCTCGAGAGGAAGGGAGAGATAACCTAGGCAAAAGAAAGAGACGTTATCGCGTGTACTGTACTCTTGTTTATTGAACTGTGGTCCGACTGTTCAAGTCGGTAGGCGCAGTTAGACTGACTACAAGTGTGTAACCCACTCTCTTCTCTCTCCTCTCCTAGACTCGTGATTCTAGCCTACACTGAGCTATGTGGTAGGGGGGAGTCCCTATATGCTTAATGTTCTATGGCCCTTTCTAACGGACATAGGACGAAGAGGAAGTCTGTCGAGCATAGGCACCAACGACACCGAGGACAGCAACGTGTCAGTATTTAGCAACCAAATCCAGGAGGAGCTTGCCTCTTTAGGAGAAAGAGGTGCTAAGCCCAGAGTAAAGCAACAGCAAGTGGCTGATAAAGTCCAATTAGCAACGAAAGATATTACAGAGACGCTACAATTAATCAACGATAAGTATGGCAACACAGCGAATGCTATTAAGAATGGGCTCAAAGCCGCGCTTAAACACCTTCAAGAGGCAGAGGTGCTAAGAAAAGGCTTTCTTCATGAAGAAGAAGTGTATGCAAACGCTTGAAAATTTTCGTCCGAATCCCTGCAGTGGAGGGAACAAAGGCGAGATAATTTCCGACGGCATGTACAGAAAAGAACCCTGAACACTGCTCTAAAGGAAATAGAACGAAGTAAAAGAAACAGGAGCCCATCGGACAGCCCTGAAAAACGCCAGCAAACCATGCCTCCAAACAAAAAGAAAACAGTTAGTGGCAAACAAGAAGAAATTCTCCTGAATGAAAAAACAAGCCAGAAGAAAAAAGTGGATGCGACAACAACAGTAGTAGTGAAGATGGCCGAAGGGCAGACCTTTGCAAAGGTGCTGAGGACGATGAAGGCGAACTTTGACCCTGATAAGGCTAATGTGGCAGTCTAAAGTGTTGTCACTACAAAATAGGAGACATACTTATTAAGGCCAAAGGTGTAGAGAATGCTACTGCATTCTCACAGCAAATTGAAAAGTCGGTAGCCGGACAGGGTACTGTCAAAATGAGCAACAGAAAAGTGACATTAGAGGTCAGAGACCTGGATGCCATTGTAGAGGAAGATGAGGAAAAAGAGGCTTTCGCTAGGACTTTTGGACATCAGAGCCAGGAGCCAGAAGTAGCTTTCTTAAAGCCAAATGCCAGAGGACAGAGGCTGGCGTTGATAAAGGTGGACGAAGCAACTACCAGACAAGTAGAAGAGGAAGGCAGGTTACGAGTTGGCTTCGTAAGCTGCCGAATACGAAGAAGAATTGAAGTAACAAGATGTTACAAATGCCTGGAATATGGACACGTATCAGGCAACTGTAAGAACGAAAACAGATCCAAGCTTTGCTTCCGGTGTAGAAGCTCAAACCACCGGAAGAAAGAGTTGCCAGGCCCAGCACGGTGCTTCCTTTGCCCAACAACAGACAACAAGCACGAAGCAGGCAGCAGGAGCTGCCCTTTATTTAGAAGAGCCCTAAAAGAGGCCAGGGATAAGGCCCAAGCAGGATAAAAATAAGGCAAAAAGGCCTTGAGTTGAAAGACAGGCTTACGTGGACCCACGCTGCGATGGGTACTTTTTACCTATCAGCAAGGGAAAGCATTAAGCTTATAGTGGTGCTGGCTGAGTGGGCGGCCTGCTATGAAGCGCTAGACAAGGTGCTGGTCCTCAGGGACCCCGAGTCCTTTTCAGGACTCGAGAGGATTGGCACCTCTAGCAACTGGTGGCGAGCTTGCTCGCTAATGCTGCGAGACGTGATGGTCTCCTTGGTGGCTCCACCCTGAAGTAATGCTAACGCGGTTCCAGGGTGGATCAAAAGCCACGCGGCATGGGGGGGGTTTT